GGCTCTGTCAAAATGAGTGCAGCTGAGCTTAAACACCTCTTTTATAGTTCTTCGGAGGCTTTTGTTTCTGCTTTTAGTGAGATCGCTTTGTCAGGACCAGGTTTGGGAGCAATTAAATGTGCAGTTAAGTTGGCAGATCTAAGGGGGCAGCTGGACCAGAAGCAACACATCTGACCATGCGCTAAACAAACATCTGTCCAAAGTCTTAGTCAAACAGATGTGAAGTAAAAATGTACCTAATAAGTCTTGAAGTAAAAATATAATTTACGAGAAACTGCATGTATCGAATTTGCTTCTAAGAAACATAATCAGTAATTTATGAGATTATAATTATCTATAGTCACAAATGATGTATCTAATAGATACTTCAGGAAACTAGCACATACTTCAAATGGTTAAATCCATGCAGGCAACTTTTTTCTCTTCTGTCAAGACACTCCTAACTCCAAAAGGTTGTGAATAACTTGCACCAACTTGAAGCGAGTGTATTCTAATCAGCTCTGCATTTTTTTACTCTTAAAGACTGAAAACCTTTGGTTTCAGATTGCAATTTTATATATGTTATAGAGCAGATAACTCAGTAATGCTACAAAAGCATTGAGTGTTTCTTGTCCTATAACCCTGGCTTGCTCTTTTCCAATCCCATTTATTGTTCCAGCACAAGATTGTGCACAGACATAGTAAGAATTGATGCAGGTTAATGTGATGGGGAGGTACTGAACCTGCTTCCCAAGCCACTTCACCACAGGGGAACACAAATGCTGATGCTGGCCAAAGAGGGTTGAAGGCACAGAGGGAGGAATGAGCAACGAAAAGTATCAGTCAATCAAAGATGCTTCATTTGGGAGTATTGCTGGCCTGAAATGTACATGAAACTGCCTCTTCAATCCAGCTTCTGAAAAGAAGATTATTTAAAATCCAGATGATGCACAAAACCGAAACACTGGTCTACAACAGAAACAGGATTTGTACTCCTTTGATTTAATTATTCCTAATGTGTAGATATCTTAAGATACTTACTAGCATGACCTAATGAAAAAGCATTTACTCATGCCATTCTCATGTTCAACAACTCAGAGAATTCCAACGTCCTCTGATTCAAAAATCAAGGTAAATAATGTATACAGACTACAATATTCTCTTTAGAAATGGAGAAGTTCATTGCAGACTTGACTGACCAAACTATATCAGACATTATACACATATGCACTTATACACTCTACAACTATGTTGCAGAGCAGAACACTAAAAATTTGCAATTGAGCATGACCATAAAGAACAAATACTTTCCCAACTAGTTTGAAAACATACGTACCTCAGTTACCCCCCAAACACTTTTTGATTTGATTTATGTTCTGCTGCTTTAAAAGAAGAAATGGGTCAATATGAAATAATGCACATCCTTGTAAAATGGATATTCATACCCAAAATAAACTCTCTCTCGGGAGAATATTTTTAAAGCAGCATTTAAAGTCTCTTGGCAATGGTTAGCTAGAAACGTTATTTATTTATTTATTTAGAATAAAAGTTCTCAGAATTTTTTTACTAACATTTAGGATCTTGGGAGTAAACATAGTAATACAAGTTTCTCCCAAATAAATTTTCATTCCATACAACACTTAGTATTTATACATGCAGAGGAATGCATAGTATGTATTAATGCAGAGAAAATTATATTTAAGAAATGTATGGGCTACTTTACAAGAGATGATATGTATGCACAAACCATTCAACTTACTGCATGCTGTTGAGTCTAATAAGCCTGATAACAATTGCCTTGTCTGATTAGACTTTTTCTCTTGCACCTACATTTTTAACATTTGGCATATAAGTATCAACAATATATGACTTGTACTTTCTCAACAGAAAGTTTAAGTATGAAACACTAAATAAATACTGTTTGCTCTCAAGACATGCAATAGTTCTGTTATACAGACTGTGAAATGGAAAAAAATACTTAGAGGCTGAGTATGGTTAGTGACTCCTAATTTTTTCATTAAATGTAAAGACCTCTTTGCAATGACACATTGGAAGCTTCATTTTAACTAATAGACTGAAGCCACCATTTTAGACCCAACCACAGATTTTTTTAAGGAAGTGGCAAACCATTGCTGCTAGTTGAGAAAATGAAAATTAGTCCCTGGGAGAGGATACAATCAATGGTGTGTTAATCTAACCTTCAGCTGTTAATGATTTGCACTACTATTTCCCCTGATGCTGTGGGCTCTGCTGAAATATTGTTTTAGCAGTTTCTGTCAACTTTCCCTACCTTTTTTCTTCCTGAAAGGGACAGACTGAAGTGAAAATCTTAGCAACAGATTTTTGCCTGTGCTATTTTTCCCCCTTTTTTGGTCTGACCCAGTTCTTTCACACCATGGAAGCAAAAGACAGAAGGATAAAGTGTTCTTTTTTTCTTTTTTGTAGCCAGTCTGTTATTCACAACTCCTCTTACTTATAAAAGAGGTGTTACACTAAGCAGTCACCATTAGAACTGCGATATTAACATGAGATTAAATAATTTAGGAAGTTTGTATTTTCCCTGCTTCTTTCACATTCAGCCAAAAAGCTAAAAGTATTACAGGACTTTTCTTTGGAAAGAACTGCTGAGGAGGGTCTGGTATTTCCAGTCATGAGAGCTGCACAAGCAAACTGGAAGAGACTTTTTGTGCTGGTGTAACAATAAATAGGTGTGCTGATCTTGGAGATTTGCCTGACCCCTGCAGACTTTTGAGTCCTTAAGGATCATTTGGTTCACTCAGTTGAAACAATCTTGCAAAAGAAAACTGCACAGCCCGCAAGCCAAATTCTGCAGCAAAGGACTGAGTGCCAAAATAATAAAAGTACTCAGCACCTTGCAAAGCTGCATTCCACACACACAACACTAGTTTTCTTAGCAAGCATTTCTTCCAGGAATGAGTGTATCTCAATTGTTTCAGTATTAAAGTAGAGCCAAAAGGACTTGCGAAACCATTCATACTTATTTTACACGTATCTCAGGCCCTTTGTTTAACTTTTGAATATTTCAGATGAATAAAGGTAAATATTCAGCATGGTATGCCTGTCAAGTTTAAAAAATCTGGGGTAAGTTGAAGAAGTGGCATTGGATCTATTTCAGTATTGGCTTCATGCAGACTACAGTAACCCATTATCAGGGTTGTGTGTTGCTGCACACAAATCTCATTTTTTGATAAATATTAATTAATTCATAAAACATATTGAAAGGTTTAATGTTGCTCCTTCAAGATCATGCTCACAATTCATTAAAAATCATTTGAATATAGGTACACTAGCTGTAAAAATAACTTCATTAAATTCTCAACTTAGACATAACTGTGTTTGAAGACATATGATTGAGTATTTCTCATACTGAAAGCTCACGCCCCTCATTTTCAGATATTTGAAGAGTTTTGCAGGGTGTCTTTAAAAGGTTTCATTAGGCGTATCTACTACTGATAATTAATACAATCAATCAGAAACTGTCTGTACCTAATGGACCTTGCCAAAGATTGTATTGATTAGAAAGTTTAAAAAAATCACCCAAATGACAAATGATCAATAGATTACAAAGAGGGTGATTTAGACATTTCACAAAATGCGTTCTACTAGCCAGAAAGGATAATTTTTTGTTATTGTTGCTGTGCACTGCTAATGTATTTGATCAAGAATCTGGATGGAAAGTAAAGATTTCTAGTAAAATTTGCAGTGACATAAACCAGAGACCTCTAGGTAACAAAGACAATTTTTCATGGATTCAGGCTACTTCAGGAGGACCAAATGTACAATCCATCTATTTCTATGTGGCCAAATATAAGAACGTATTGCCTATGAATGGGGAATGTAAGCCACAGAATCCAAGAAAGTATTCAGGGATGAAAGATGGCTCAAAGGATCTGGGATATATAAAGGGAGGAACAACAAGTAGAAATAGAGAACAAATGACTTCATTATTTGGCACTGATGTAGTAATTTCTGAAATATGGAGTGCACTTGAGACATCAACACTAAGAAGGCTGAAAAACTGCAGAGGATTCTGAAAAAAAGCTGGGGGAATAACTGAAAGGCTTGCAAATACACCATATAGTAAAAGTTAAATAATAGAAACTTTTCTTCCTTTAAAGAAGAGATTATATACAATTTGATGTTCACCTGCAAATTCATACATAGGGAATAGAAATGTAACCCCATTTGAAAAGAAAATATGCGATAAAATCTATCATCTGGAAGCTCATATCATGCAAAGGCATATCTAAAACATGATATTACTTACAAGTAACTCAAATTTCTGGAAAACACTTAGAGAAATTTATAAAAATCATTTGCTGGATTTTTTTCACTGGGATTCACAGTTAATCCACAGTGGCTATTTCATTAAAATACAACTATGCTCACCAAACTAATTCAGGTAAATCTCATGGCCTCTACATTGGAGAGTGAATTATATGATCATGTTTGCAACAATTATCTCAGGAATTAAAATCCATTGAAGTCAAGGGTAACATTATGACTGTTTTCAAAGCACTTTGGATCACATGCATATTCACAGTTCTATTGATGTGATTATATGCATCCAGTTTTATTTTTAAAGGCTAACAAAAACAAGAGACTTGGTTTGTTAGTTTTATTTTGTTATCTTTTTGTATTTTAATGAAAAAAAAACCAAACAAAACAAACAGATTCTAAAATCTAGTCTAACATAAGATATAGTAAACTCAGGTGAAGTCCCAGAAACAGTAAAAGGTGATGGCAAGGTCCAATACAGATTAATATAATTGATGATTAATTGGTAATGTGGAGCTGGACAACACCCTGTAAGAATCATATTTAGCCTTTCAGGTTAGAAAGATTTTATACGTCACTAAAATTTAATTGCATAAAGAAAGGTCCAGATGCCTTGTTTAATCATTTTGGATTAGCAATAACAATTTCAATACATAATTATATTTTCTTCCTTCTTAGTGATTAAAACCCAAACGATCTCAAGATTGTATTCATATACTCACTCTGGTAGTCGGGACAGGATACCTAAGGAAAGAGAACTTATGCCATCATTGATCCGACCTGGCAGCTTACGCTTCTGAATCCAGCTGACAGCAAACTCCAGCCCAATAAAAGTAATGAAGAATGGGATACTCTAAAAATAGTTTGAAAAAAAAAAAAAAAAACACAACAAAATAAGTTTAGATACACTTTTCCTAACAGCACTTAATGCTGTGAGATGCTTCTCAGATTGGCAGTCACTTTAGTAGCTACTCCTGTAATAAAACTCATAACATGGTTCTTAAAAATCAGAACAACCAAGGCTACCATTAAATCCAAAACACCAGCATAAATCTATTGCAATAACCTCCTCCCACAGTGTTTTCTTTTGTATATTCTGCACATAAACTCAAACATTATCAGAACAAAATGTAAAAGTCTTTCCAAACTAATATTTCTCACATTTAAGTAAATCAGTGAGAGCACCAATATTTGTGGAGACTCCTCCAACCACAAACTAGAACAGAATCTGGTTTGGATTTGATATTGTATGAAGTTTTTTTACAGTTTTCAGCCACTGAATTTGGCATCCAACATTATTACCTGAAAGATATAATAAAGTGAGTTTCTTTCTACTTGGCATTTCTATTGCCATGCTTTTCACGGCAGACAACAGTTCTGTATGTGCTTTCATCAGTGAACCCAGTAACTATGCAGCCTGTCCCAATTTGGGCAAGACTCTCTTCTCTTCCCAGACCAAGTAACAATGATACAATGTTCCCCTCTTTCTTTGGGATTATAATGACTGCAAAATAGTGCTCTGCCTTTCTGCCAAAAAGTATAATGATGAGAAAGACTGAAAAATTTCTCACTCACAACATTGCTTTAGTCTGGGATTCAATTCTCACTGTCCATCTTCTATCCCTGATCAACTAGCAAGCTGAAAATGCACAGCAACAGCACTCATTAGTGAAGTGTGTAACTGGTGAGGACTGACAGACCTGTTCTCAAATTTTTATCATCTGAGGCAACAAGAAAAAGGCTTGAGTAACAGCAAGTCATAGAGCATTTTTTTTTTTTTTTTACTAACACTGGACTAATAGTCCTTGCACTTCACATGCAGAAAGAATGAGGCAGAAGCAGTGTTTTAGCCATCACCACCAAAATCTAGAAGGTCTGTGGCAAGGAAAATGGGAAGGAGTTATCAGATCTCTGTGCAAGCAAATGTTCCTTCAACAACCTCCCCTGCTCTGAAGAAAACTTTCAGGTGACCTTTGCGACATTTAGACAACTGCTTTTTAGTTATATGAAGGCATAAAATTCCCACCATGTTTTGCAGGGCAAAAGAAATACAAGACCAGTTCTGCACCACTTTGGGATGCACCACACATACTTGCCCTGTAAGTTTTCTGCTGCTTCTCCTCCCTTCAAATGGCCTGCAAACACCTACAGCTTCACTGCCTGGAACCCTCCAAACGGCACTGCTGTAGAACAGAGGCTGCTCCTGCCCATACAACACTTTAATAGAAGCATGTTGTCTCTGCAAATACCATTGCATTTTGGAGGGCGCTCATTTTTGTTGCCAAGTGAGATATGATCTGGGAATTCCTACTAGGCTGGAACAATAAAGAGACTAAGATGGATACAGACCAGATTGCTCACTCCAGGAAGAACTGGATGATTCAAACCACGCAAACAGCAAGAGATTTATAACGTCTAGAAAATGTGAAAGTTCATAAACTTCAGCAGCATAGGGTTAGGTTACAATAACAGATGGACAGAGCTTAATACCAACATGACACTTTTTAATTTAGGTGCCTAGCTTACTCTGTAACAGCATTTTAGGCATCTAAAAGCCTGTTTCTGATAGGCACCAACTGATGATATAAAAAACTAGAAAGAAAGGGAAGACCTGTAAAGGCCAAAATGCCTAAAGAGCACCCAAGAAAACCAATGTGGCAAATCTTTCAATATTTGGCATAAGTAAGAAATAATATAATAATAAAATATATTATAAAAGAGAATAATAAAAGGAAAAGGAAACCCTAAAACCTTCCATTTGGAACCAATGAAACATACTAGAAAAAAACAAATACTCCTTGTTTTGCTCTCTATATCTATTTGATTTCTAAGTAGATAAGACTTTTAATGTACTTTTCCTAACTGATATAATCAAATATTAGCAAACAAAGGTTGATGACCATAGCTGTACACTGCAGCAGAGAAAAGAGAGGTTTAATACAAAAAACTACAAAACACTTTATGACAATATTAAAAGGCAGTTCTAGCACAGACTATAAGGATTTTTAAGGTATGGAACAGCAGAAGCTGCAGAGCAAATTGAATGGGCTCAGACCAGAGAAAGTGAAGTGCTTTATTCATGAAATAAAAAGTTAATAGGAAATGTACAATGTCTGTATTCCATGTGATGATTCATTTTAGCTAGCAACCTCCGAAACAGTTGAAATACTTGACTTTATATTAATGTACACTATTATAATTTCTGTCTTCTTGATTTCATTAAACATTTTCCTCCCACTGTGAAGCTGTGAAACAGCCAAGCAGTTGGCACAACTTTTTGACTCACAAAAGGGGAGTGTCATAGCAAGGAGGCTAAAGAAACATTCAGACATCCTTAACCTCCTGCTCATCAAAGAGATTATAAAAGAAAAGATTTATGGCATACCCCTTACTATCTAAGAAATTACTACATCTCTCTCACATATCTTCATTAAGCTTGGTCCAAAAGTAGATCAATGGCATCAACTTCATCTAGGCTAGGATGTATTATTTATGACATAACTATGATATAACTATGACAGCTATTTTCATGGAGAATGAAAAGGCATTCCCTGACCCAAACTGCCCACAGCGTAAGGATGAGATGTAACTCAACAGAAGAATGCAAATAATTCAGAAAAGAAGGAGACAAAGAGAAAATAATCTCACTAGCCTAACCACTAATTTTATTTTTTCCTGTTTTTTCTTTTTTTTTTTTAAGTTAAAAGGACAATGAAGACATTTAAGGAGGATGGCTATCTCTACAACTGCTTTCAAGGGTTGTCTCTAAAAATAAAAGGGCACAAAGTTAAGAAATAGCCACTGTTGCCATCACAGGTCAGTAACATAAGACAGATCCTTTTGATATCTTCTGGTCCATAAATGTTTTACTCTCTCTCTGTTTCCAGGTTTTTTCTCTTCACCCAACAGCAGAAATACTCAATGGAGATTTGCATGAGCTTGTGGTTTAGCTGAATAACTGATCCATAACATGAAAGCCTTACTCTGAGTACTGTGTAAGAGGGTTCCATTTTAAGTAATCAACTCTACAGAATGCAAAGGACCATTTAAAATCAGTTTCCACATTATACTGTTGCAAAGAATAATATTCTAGGTTGAAATGCATATACTCACAGTTTTACTGCAATTCTTGAAACAGTTTTTGTTTCCTTAAAGTCCCAGACCTTTATAACTTAAGAATCCCAACTTTCAAGTAAAACTAAATATGAAGGTTCTATGCCTCATTATGTGGAGGCAAATTCTAAAATGTGAATTGAGTTTAAATATGAACTTATTCTTTAGGCTTTCAAGAGAGTAAATCAAAAAGGAAAACAGTGATTATATTAAAGCATTCATTTTGGAGTTCTCAGCAGAAGGACTGTCTCTTCAGAAGTCTGACTCATGGCAATCTTTACAGAGCAGAAGTGATAATTTCAGACCATAGCAAGGTACAAAGCAAATTTATGGTTCATGAAAACTACATTTGGCAAAACAGAAGAATCATTCCACCTACCCATCTGTAGATTGTGAGAGAAATTAAAAAAAAAACCCAAAAAAAAAAAAAAAAACCACAACCAAAAACCAACCAACAGAGCATGCAGAGCCTAATCTTACACGCATAGAAGAGAGGATGCTCTTAAAACAAATGGGCAAGCATCAGTACCTCCTGTCTGGGAGAAAGAAAATTGACGTACTTCCCAGAAATACAGAAAAATTAAAAATTAAGGGATTTGAATTCTACATGACAAAAAGTTTTATAAAAATAAATTCTATGATGAACACCCCTTTTCCCAGAATTCTGGAGATTTGTTGAAAGGGTGACTTTTCCCTGGGCGCTGCTGCAGAGCTTTGCTGCTTGTCACTGGTAGCAGCTGATCAGCCTATACTTCAAACAGGACTTGAGGCCTCTACAAACAGCTCTGCCAACATGCAAAGCAGTAGTGCAAGGACCATTGCTTCTGAAAATGGAAGCAATGTAACCAGGGACAGAAAGTACACTACACAAGTTAAGCTAACTATTCTGTTCTCAGAACCAGAGCTGCTTCACCCCCTGCTGTCATTTCCTACCCAGATGTAACAGCACAGGTGACTCTAACTCAAAGGGGCCACTCCTGTATTTTGTAACCAACTAGCTCAATTTTGCAGATTGCTAAACCCATGAATATTTGGGTAAATTTGGAGGTTCTGCCACCTGTCATGTTGGAAGGTGCCTATCCCCACAGCTGTAGCCATGTCATCTAATGTCCTAGAAATACTTTCATCCATTTGATACGCAAGAGACCATAGATCTGAGATGCAAATTACACTAGTGTCTCAGAAAAAAAAAAAAGAAAAGAAAAAATCCCACACCATTTAGAGACACTAATGTAATCAGTAGTTTGTTTCACACACACATCAATATTGTTGTCTTTTAGAGTGAATTATTTGAGCTGAGGCCTTCATTTGTTACCAGCTCTACAGTAGAATTTTTTTTTGTTTTGTGTTGAATTGAGTTCATATATCCACTTCTGTGTCTGTACCAACTAAAGGAGTTAGCACTCCCAAAACCTCCTTGAAAGGCCAATCAGGTCACTGTTAAATCTGTTGCTGATGAATCCAATGCATATACTTCTCGTGTAATTTCTCCCTAAACAGTCAAGAACAGCAGCTGGAGAGGGACTGTAGGCAGCTGCCATCTGCCCATAAACAAGGCCAGAAGAAGATGGATGAGCTCTGCCTAAGCTCAGGCCAAAGCCAAAGAGTTAAAACAGTTATGCCACAAAAATACTTTTATATGCCCACCAAGACAAGCATCAAAAGACCTGTTCTAGCAACAAATGCACTGTCAAGAAGGAAATCTAGCACAGATAACCTAAGATAGGAATTTAAGAAAAGCATAACAGTAATGGGAAACCTTTTTTTAATGCTGTTTTTTTTTTTTTTTTGGTGAGAAATATTCCTTTATGAGCTTATCACAACACTGCTCTACAACAGCAGAAGCCTGCAGGCGCTTTCATAATTCAATGTATTAAGAATCCTTTCACAGATATACCACTGTGTGTCTAGTAAAAGAAATTCCAGGTTTGGCTGATGTCTGACCTGAATATTGCACATAAGAGAAGAAAGCCCAAGGATTTTAAGGTATATTGCCGGCAAGAAAGTGAACGATACTCCATTGGAAATGTGGGAATAGTAAAAGGGACTGAGACAGTAGAGAGAGCTGGAGGGAGAGATCAGCTGACTAGGCAAAACCATCGATCCTCCTTAATCATGGCCCTATAGCTTAGCTGCAAAACACCTCTGAGGACAGCAGTCCATTGACCAGACACTGCACACACTGGTTGGGCTTGCAGCAACTTTCTGCTTACCTTACACAAAAGGGTTTACTTTTGCTGATAACATCCCTCAGTGAAGGACTGCTGTATACTACAACTCCCAGAAAGCTGCTGACGGCGCTGCACTGCTCTGCACAGCCCATGACACCCCCACTGCAGTCTGCCAGCAGCTGCTGCACAGCAGTCCAAGGTATACCTGGCAGAGGAGCTACTCAGAACTACCAAAACCCACATAAAAAGTGCAGCTCTTTATTGAAGCTGGGCTGAATTTACTTTGACAAGGGCAAAATAGTGTTTATGTGCTGTCTCTGTGAACAGCTGACATCGATCTGGGTTCAGAAGGAGCTGACAATCAAGATATGAGCAATAGGTAGGACAGAAGGGAGCAAAGGTATCTTCTTGGAAGTGAATAAACTGGCAGGGAGGGATGGGAGGGAAGGATACGCTGCTGCCTGCTGACAAGGGAGTTCTCACCCACGACCTCTGTACCCTTGCCTTGGATATTTAGGACACAGCACCGTCCCAACACAAATATTTGTTCTAAATTCTCTTAAAAGATCTTTATTTTTTATTTTAATTAGAAACCTTTTATTTTTCTGTCTTTGACTGAGCGTGACTTAAGGGCAAGAGAGACTTGACTTTTTGCTTGCTTTAAGAACCATAAAAGCCAAACACATTATCATACTTGTTTCCTCAGTTCAGTTTGCTGTCACTGTTCATCTTATCCGTGCTGCTGGATATAATGTTAGCATCAAGCCTCAGATATCGGGGTGCTTCTCTGAAAACTCCTGCTCTTGGTACCAGGAGAAATCATCATTTAAATACATGAAAACAGAGGGTTACACTGGCAGCTTACAGGCAGAAAGCCCATGAGAGAAAGGCGGTTTTATCGTAACTGAGGGGCCCTTTCGCGGACACGGTTTCTGCGAGCCGCCCGTGGCTTTCGGAAACAGGCGCAGGTGGGCGAAGGGAAGGGCGAGGGATGCAGCCAGGGTGGGAAAGGAGGGGACTCTCACCTTCTCTACGTAGTCGGGCACCTCCTCCACCGTGCGGAAGGAGCTCTCTGCGGGTGCCAGCGCGTAGAAGAGGGCGCGGAGCTGCTGGCCCGCCGCGGGGTCCCGCGGGCCGCCCGCCTCAGCGCCCATGGCCGGGCCGCGCTGCGCCCGCTCCGCTCCCGGGCTGCGCCACCCCCGCCCCCAGCGCCGCCCCGCCGCGGCCTCGCCGCAGCACCCCGTGGGCCCGAGGGATCTTCTGTTCCTTGGAGAAAGCTCCCCATTCCTGCTTCCCCGGCATCGTGCTGTTTTGGAGGTTTGCTTGGGTTTGGGGCCTTTTTTTTTTTTTTTTTTTTTTGCATGTGTCATCACTGTCTGGCCCACCTCTGGAAGCTGGGAGAAAGCTCTCGTGCACCCCAGGTCCTTTCTCGCCCTCAACAATCTCAGAACCTCAAAAATCTGCAGAGCTCAAGTCACCCTTTCTCAAGTTTAGACATATTTCCACATAAAAATAGAAATTGTTGCTCAGGTTTGGAGTTCCATAAAAATAAAATGTTGAGGGTTTTGAGAAACAAGCGAAGGTGTGCTCGCTGACTCCTGTATGGGTTCGGCTGTATGGGTTAGTCCAACATTCTTCCCATTAAAAGCTTTTCTTTTTTTAATAGGGCTTATCACTGGTCCAATTTTGTATAGCTTCAGTTAACATCACTGCATTGAAGGTAACCTCTGGAAGACATCTATTATGCTTTCAATTATGAAGGAATGAAAACTAAGGAAGTAGAAATGGTGAAAAGAGATATATGCCAGATCTTTGTGGAAAATTACTTTTAGAAATGCAAGTAAGGGCAGGCTTTGTGCAGTCAAGACCTTCGGTCTGAAGCTCAGGAGCATGTCAAATGTCAATCATGCTTGATATTTGGTGTTAGTACAAATAAGATTTCTGATGAAATAGATTAGCCAAAAATAACACAATGTCTCAACAATATCTTCATCTCAAATGTGCAGTTCCACTGACAGTCTTTACAGAAGAAATGAACTGCAAATCCTGCTGTAAAAGATTTTACCACCATTTAAATTCTGACAGTCATTTTAAAAAAATTTACTTTGCATCAGCCTTGAGTTTTGGAAGGAAACTATGCTGGGTAATTTCAGCTGAAGTTTCTGTTTAGGAAAAGTTCTATGCAAATGAACTGACATTTAAAAAACAGAAGTATTACACATATGTGATGTTTGTATTAAATGAATTGCTTTTAAACAACAGCATGGAAGGTCAACTTAAACAATATTCTGCAGTTTGAATAATACTACTGTAGCAAATGGCTGTCAGGAAATTACTGGAAATACCAATGAAACATTCTACCTTTAGCTGAACAAAGAAGTATTGTAAAAGGGCATTGATGATAAAATAAGAGTTGGGCACTCTATTAATATGTATAGTTTATACTAATATTATAAGTTAAAAATTTGTTTATTTAAATGCTTTAAATTTATTTATTTAATATAATATATAAATGCTATTTATTTATTTAAATGCTTTAAAATTGCATCCTAGTGTTCTCAACTTCATTGGTGATTTATGGTAATCTGAAATTATTATAAAAATGTAGTTGTTAACTTCTAAAATCTGAGTCAATTTAAATAAAAATTCCAAATTTATTCAAAATCACACAAATCAACAACATTCTGCCTAGATCTTCATGGCAGACAATGACAGAAAACATTTTCTTGTTCATTTAGATTAGGCTCAGTAATTCTGTGACATTAGTCTCACATTCAAGCTCCTTTAACTCAGCCTCACCATCTCACCCAGAGCCCTTCCTTGGTCTTGTGCGGATGCTCATCTTGCTCCATCATCAGCTTTCAGAGTAAAATGGCCTACACTTAATCCCACAAAAATTGTTATCAGTGAACTGGGGACCATTCTGCAGTGAGAATGCTTAGCCGGGCAAGGGAGCCCATGGCCACTCAAGGTGAGATATGTTTAAGTATAGAACCACTACATCGCATCACACCATTCTGGGAAAGAAGACAGTCCATCAAGTTTTTAGGACTTTCTACTTTCTTAAAGATTATTTTGGACCTCCATGTTATTGTACATTGTCACCCCAGTATGACTGTATTAAGCTCTTGTTTTCAAACAGGAAGGATTGAAATTTGGTTTGATCATGCTTCACAGGGGAAAATAATGGGTTGTGTTTTCCAGCTTCGGCGTCCAAGAAGAAATAGGAGATAGCTCTACAATACCTGCATTTCTGGTGAGGGAAACAGTTTGAAATCTTATCTGGAGCACTTACGACAAGCTTCAGTGGTCTGGCTCTGCCAATGTAGCTGCTGTTGCTAACTTGTGCCTTGAAACTTAGCATGCGGTTTTCAGTGCTCCTTCTTCCTGTTGTTAAGAAAGAAATGGAAAATCAAGGAATGTTGTTTCATTGGAGGGACTAAGCCTCTCCCACACAATGCACTCTCCATTCAGTCACCTTGCAGAATTTTTTGCAAGAGCTGACTTTTTTTATTACTTTATTTTCTGCAAAGACTTAAATAATCACTTTTTTCCTGTTTACAATAAAATCAACAAACAGAAAAGTTAATATTTCCCATCCTATACTGCCATCAAAAATGCAGGAGGACGTTCTGTATGGAGGCTGGTATCCTGCTGTTGACTAGAACATAGTTCCAGTAACTAAGGCAACAAAGGCCTCTGTTCTACTTAGAGGAAATTGGGGAGCTGGCCTAACATGATCTGTAGGTGGATCATATTTTGTTTTCTCTAAAGAACTTCATCCCACCCACTTCTTGAGCAGAGAACGCCCAGAGTCTTCCTGTTTAGGTCTCTGTAAGCAGTAAAACACTCTAAATAATAAAGTCATAAAGGGAATTAGGGCAGGTTGAAATTGGGATGGGCCATATAGTCTGCCTTGGCAGTCATTCACAGTAAACTAAATCATATCCAGAACCTAGCTGGGCTTAGTATGCTCTGTTTATGTAGTAGTATCTGTGAATAATAGAACTTTAAAGGAGTACACTTTAAAGGAGTACACAAGTAGATGTCATAATTTTTTGTATCACCATTCCAAATATACAGCACCTACATTCATACTTTGCAGTGGATGTCAGCACAGGAGCACTAAATGTATCTGTGTTATTATAAAATTGGTATTATAAAATATTTTCAGTGTTGTCTTTGCCATTGATAAACCCTACATCACATTAAAAAAAAAAAAACCTACCATTAAAAAAAAGCCAAATGTTTATTTGTTTCTATTATAAGCTATACATATATATCTCAATACACAAGTCTTAATAAGAACTTATGACTCCAGAGACCTGAAGATAGGGATGTTCTTGAATATTAATCAGTGTTATGCCATGCACTTGGCAACTTACTGCTAACTTTCCATTTCTTCTACACAGAAGTAGTAGCCATAGAGAAGGAAGCAGTCATCAGGGTACTCAAGCAGGCTGAAGAATAAGGCAAACACTATTTTGGGGTATTTTTGTAATATTTTCCATCATTTTATGCACTTGAAATAATTTAACCTTTTGTACTAACTGAAGAAAAATGTGTTTTGAGGTTTTTTTTTATGTGAGAGGGGATGGGACAGGAGTTACTGGAAAAATAAATTCCATCTTCAAAGGCAGACTTATCAAGTAAGTAACATTAGAAGAACAGCCTGCCCACCTATTGTGAATATTTCCAAATTTTATCTGGCATGCTCTGCTGTGCAATTTCTTGTGCTTTTATTTCTGAAAACCTTATTTTAGTTTAATTTTTTTTTAGGTACACAGTGGTTCAGGCTGCTGTGTGCAAACTACATGTTAAGTCAGCATTATGTAACTTACAGGATAGCTATCTTAGACATCAAGATAATTTTATTTGCCATGTTAAAACGTATTTAATAGCTCTTTGTGTCATGTGGCCAGTGATTCTTACTATTTGTTATCACCAGAACAGTCTCATGTTTTTGAGTTAGGAACAGATAAATATCAACACTAGGTAGATCCCAAATTATAAAACATCTCATGACATGAGAGGCACACATGAGATTATAGCCCATGCTACCACTTTACTCCCTGTGGACAAGTAGGAATCATTTGAATAATTTCTAAGAGGAAGCATAGAAAGTACAACTTTTCAAGCAAGGCTAACCAAAATGCTGGTTTGATTTGTTTTGTTTTTATAAAGAACAGTCATGGAGAATTATAATGAGTATGCCCATATACATGAACTTCACAGAAAGACTGTTGTCTGTTAACACTGGACATTTTTTAAAGATCTACTCTAGTATCAGCAGCAGATGTACTTTATAAAAGTCTTTGATAATATTTTAAAGCTTGAGATCTTCAAGTATCATCTGGCTTTAAATCAGCAGTTTTTCTTTATTATAAGGAACAGAGAATAATTTTTCTTTCATAGGAAAACCACATAGACTCTACTTCTTTCTAGCCTGCAAATCCCTAGTCCTTGAGATTGTTTTCTGTTGATGACTGCTTTAAATAAATTACAGTGATTTATAAATGCTGAGTGCAATTAATGTGTACTAATAAAATAAAAAGACTACAAAAGTTAGCTACCAAAGGCAGTAGAACACTTATGGAAAGGTGGAAATCTTCTTTACTTCCAAGGAATAATTTACCAGGGCCTCTGGCAGTCAGCAAGCCTCCTGTGCCAATAGGTCTGTAAGGAGATGAACACTGCCAGCTCCCCACCCCCTCAGCGAGTCCACAGCCACTGTCCCCTACCACTCCAGGGCAAACACTCACTTCTGGTCCAGCTGCCTCTGTGCCCCTCCTCAGCTCTAAGTCAATGCATCAATACCACAAATTCAGGTCTGAGAGCAAAGAAAATGCCTTTCTCCTGCTGCCCAGAGACATAAGCTGACAGCCTTCTCCACTCAGAAGGTTGCCACCCGCCACTCATCCACAAGTAGCCTCTTTCTCCCCTTTATTTTTTTCATAAGGGGCACTGTGAAAGCTTTGCCCATCACCTGCCTGCCATCCTTGAAGCCACATGGTCACACACATCCTCCTACTACTCCTTTGACCCAGTGTCAAAGCCCACCTCCAACTGTGAGACCATCCCAGGAAGAAGTACCAGGTGCTCCCTGCAGCCTAATAAGGACATGCTTCACTGCTCTAGTTCTTTTGATACTCTAGGTAATTTATATGTCACATATTGAGAACTAAACCTTGCAATG